GTTGGTACACTCTCTAGTTCCCAAACCTTTGTAAACAACGTCGTCAATTCCTTAGTCAAAAAGTCACCACCATCTTTACAAAGAGCCGGAGGTAAGTCATCTGGGCCAGGTGATTTGTAACGCTTCAAGAGTTGGAGTTCCTTGCGGACTTCCTCCTCATTTGGTGGATCAGTCGTCACCGGCCATGGAGGGCAGGACAGTCTGACCGATGTTGCCGGAGCAGCAGGCCAGTTGAACTGCCCTTCGAAAAATTCTGCCCATCGTCCAAGACGTCGATGGATGTTAGTGATTGGCATCCCATCATCCTCGCAGATTGTTTCACTCACACCAGACTTCTTGCTGCCAGTGGCTCGGATGAGTTGGAAGAGCTTCCGGTAGTTACCAGATGCAGCTGCTGCTTCCAGCTCATTAGCACGCATCGACCACCAGGCTTCTCGGTCCTTACGCAAGCTTTGCCCGATTTCCTTACGTAAAATCCTTCGTTTATGGTCAAACTCACGGTTACCCGGAGTAGACCGACGGGCTTCAATGAGTTGTAAGGAACCAGAAGAAACCCAGTGCTTAAAAGCGGGACGTTTCGCAAACCCACAACTGACTGTTCCCGCCATTTTCATGGCGTCATGCAATTGCAACCAATGCTCATCTATACTTTTCGGTGGAGTGGTAGCTAGCCTAGAGGCTAGCTCGGTTCGATACTTACTTGCAACAGAAGTTGCAACCAGCTTGCTAACATCAATCCGTTGATGGCGTTCACTTCGTTGTCCACTGAAAAGTAAGGCAAGATTGGCGCAGACCAAGGCATGGTCAGAGTCCAGATAGGTACTCCAAAAGGAGCGGCAGTCTTGTACACAACCACGCCAGCGGTAGCTGATCGCGATGTGATCAATCTGAGTCCAGGCTTGAGATGCAGAGGGAGGACGCCAGGTGGCACATCGGCGATGACTGTGCCGAAAGTTAGTGCTAGCCAGAAACAGGTTGTGGTCTGCGCAAAGTTGCAGTAGACGGTCCCCGTTATCTGACCTGCGACCAACGAGTCCCCATCGGCCACCTAAACGACTCTCTTCTGTGCCTAGACGCCCGACCTGAGCATTCAAGTCTCCGGCTAGTACTACAATATCTGTCGAACGCACTTTCTGGAGAAGAACTGATAATTGGTGGTAAAACTCATCCTTGATTGCATCCGGGCTGCAATCTGTCGGGGCATAGGCGGAGATGACGAAAAGACATCGTTTCTCACGCCGATTTCTTCTCACTTTGATGGAACTTTCTAATCTAACAGCACATAACCGACTGTTAATGGGGATCCAATCGACTAGTGCTGCCTCAGCTCTAGCGCTTAGTGCGACACCAACGCCAGCAAAACCAGACGAAGATGCCACAGGGTCCCCGGATAAGCGCACGTAAAACAAGCTTTTCGAAGCGACAGATGGAGATCGAATTTGTAGTACTTCGCCAGAGTCTTGAATACGGGTCTCGGATAGACAACACACGTCGATATTAAGACTTTCCAAAGACATAGCCAGCCCTATCTGTTGTCCGACCTGCATAAATGTGCGAACGTTGAAGGCAGCCAGTTTGAATGATGCACGTGGTTTCAGAAAATCTGCTTCAGTCCTCGTATTCGGTGGTAACATACAATTTACAACCGGACAGTGACTCGAGAACGTTTAGATACAGTCGGAATTCCACCAAAGACGAGCCGCTGTATAAGTATAAAAGAAGGTGAATAATGTGGAAAATAATAATAATAATGATAATAATAACAATAATGACAATAATAGTAGTAATAATAATATTAGTATTAATAATGACAATAATTGTAGTGATCATAATTTGAATCAATTGATTGTTTTTCAAAGCGACAAAGGTAATTTCCATGGACATAGAGTTCATCATTTGTGTGTGGGCTGTGATACTGGCCGGGTGCCCAAACCGAAGCAGGTGGTTATCTTAGGGGGCCACTCCCCGAGCCTTTGACCTAAAGGTCTAACCCACAAGGCAGTGGAGCATCGTAAGGAGATGCAGTCCCATGGTAGCCGGTGACCAACGATTGGTTCATACGCCATTCGTTCCCGCAGGATACTGGAGCCCATGTGCACCATTGGTTTGGAATCCGGTTAAAGCGCCGGACATTCGCTTTTCGTCCTCTCATTTTCGTAAACAACACCCCCGCCACGAGAAGGCAATGAGTAGGACTTCCCTGGCAGAGGCTATATACGCGTGGCCGTGTGAGAGTATTTCGAGAGGGAGAGCGGACTCTCCCCACTCTCGGCCGTACCAGGGCATTCAGGGGAGAATCAATAATACTGCTATTCATCTCGGTATTTTCATCTCATTGTGCTAATACAGTACGGCACCTTGGATAGGCACATATCTGCGTACTAGACTCGATATAGATAACAACTGACTGTATGAAGATTGTACTTTACCATTTTCCTAAGCAATGTAAACACCGTTCAAGATCGATACATAAATATAGTCTAGATAGATAAAGTGTTTTCTTCAAATGTGTTGCAAGATCGATAAGTATGATAACATATACCTGAATACACATAGAAGTAAGGTTGTATGGCGAACACATAAACAGTAAGTTATTGATTATTTACATACATAGAGGTCACACAGTATGGTCCATAATTTAAAAAAAGCAGAATTTACCAACTAACTTAGATAACGAGGTAAAATAAGAAGCGTAATAGTTTCATCAATTAATAATGCAAGACAAAAATTTGAAATCAGCAGATTAGACAACTTCAGTACATATATTGTTTGGAGAGATAGTGGTTGTGCCAGAATCTCCACGACCAAAGGTGTTGAAGCAATTTCTTATTGGTCATCCTGGAGTAAAACTAATGAAGTTCATGGCTCGAAGTTAAGTATATTGGTTTCTCATGGACCAGTACATCATGAAGTTAGTAAGTGAATGCACAGTATCAACAAGCGACGAAATTTAACGCTAAAGTGCCGCCGGTTTTATGGCCACAGCCTGAATATCCCTGGTCCACGATACATATCGACTTTACTGGCCCAATTAATGGGACTACTTATTTAGTTGTAGTTGATGTGTTTTCGAAATGGTCAGAAGTCCTCTCAATCGTGCCACCAACGACGATCAAAACACCACAGCTGTTGATGGAGATCTACCGGGACAGATCACCTGATGTAATTGTATCAGATAGCGGTTAGCAGTTCATTTCCAGCCAGTTCCAAGAATTCTGCCGACGGCTAGTCACCAAATATTTCCGCTCTTCTCCTTACCATCCAGTCGAATGGCCAAGTAGAAAGATTTGTAGACACGTTTAAGAGGGCCCGACTTAAGTCAAAAGGGGAGGGGATGCCAGTCGAAATACCACAGAACTTCTTGCTTGTTTATCGAACGACACCCAGTGATACGTTATCGGAGCAAAGTCCCCAGCAGAGACCCTCATGGGAAACAGACTGAGGACGATCCACAACCTGGTACTTCCGAAAACTACACCAGGAGCTGCCGACGTAAGAGGCAGGATGTCCGGTATTTGCTCGGGACGACATACCAAACCATGATCCCTGGACTGAAGCACGTGTGATCAGAAGGCTGGGCCAAGTCATGTAAAAAGTTGAGGTAGGAAGAGACAGGTGGATTCGACACCGAAACTAGCTACGGAAACGGCTAGCCCTAGATTGCCCGTCGAGAAACACAAATCTCCAGCTCCAAGTTCTGTTAGATAACTTCAACATTCCTGAAGTCCCCACGCAAGAAGTACAACAAAAAATCAACCTATGTTCTAAAAGGTGGTCACTTCGAAAACGGCAACAAACGGTCAAGATGCAAGTGAACGCCAAGAACATACGCTATTAAAAAGGGGAGGTGTTAGGGATGCTAGATACTCAGTCACTTGGTAAACGTCCTATTTTGGAAATTTGAATTTCTCATTTTCGCGCCAAAAGCGCCCATTTTTACCTTCAGATTCTATTTACCACTTGGAAGGACCCTAAATGCAATTGGTTCGTTTCCTCCTTTAATACTCCATTTTGTGACGTTTCCTAAGGACATATTTATAATGTATATATACACTTTAGTTGTGTGCTTGTTTGTCCGTGCTTTTGGCTGCTCGTGGAAAATACTTTTCCCTCCATTGAATCTGGTCCTCCCCCTCTTGTTAGCAGGGCTGGGGAGTATTGGAATAGTTTAGCTTGACCTGTTGTTGTATTGCTGACCGTTCTGTTCGCAGGTTTAGGTGATATTGTAATCTCTTCAATACAGCGAGGTTATCGATAACTCACGTGTCATTCTTCTAGGTTCTATATATGCATAATTTTATGAAAGTTGTAAATAGTTAGTCGGTCATAACCAACGCAGAGCTTAACTCGACGCACCAGATTAGTACAATGATATAAAATCAACAAGTTGAATGGGAAAGAGTCGGAATAATAATAATAATAATAATAATAATAATAATAATAATAATAATAACGATAGTCAAAACTAAACACTGAAGATACTGTTTGAAAAAAAGCTGAATGAAAAAGTATGGATGCAGAAATACTGAAACTTAATATCCAGATGAAGATAAAGATTGGATACTTACGAACTACTTTCATTTATGCTGAGTTATGTTACCGAACGTCTCTAACTAATGATAACGCAAAATACGACAAGGTGGTTTGGATCCGCCAATATACTCTAGTTCAACAGTCAATGCTTTAATAGACTGAAACTACATTTTGGTTTGGCCAGCACAAAACTTTCTTCCAACCTACATCTACTCCACCTATCAAATCAGTGATGAGGTAGGCAATATACGGGGTCATAGATAACACATATCGCGAAAACTTCAGTAGATAAAGATTCCCGATCTTGTTAACTGAGTTGTCATAAAACTCGAAGAATGTCTCGAAGATCGGAGGATAGTAATTTGTGAATCTCTAATAAATTAATAAACACTTAGCTTCAATGGTTATTCCAGCTTGTTACGATACAGTAGATTGAATAAAAGTAACATTACAGTCGAAAAACTTACTTCAAGTCGTTTGATCTCCTTCTTTTCACGGTCATGTTCCTCTTCTAAATGCTTCTTTAATTCATGTAACTGTTGTTGTTGCTACAACAACAACAAAAAAAATAATTCACAACTTTATAAAAAGTTACTTTAATAGAGCGTAAACAGAGTTTATGGGTACGAAGAATCCATTTATGGAAGTTGGTAAACTGATTCCAAACCAATGGTACGCATGGGGACCAGGATCATTAGGGAATAAATAGCGTATAAACTAATCGTTGGTCACTAAGTTCCATGGGTCTGCATTTCCTGACGCTGCTCCACTACCTTGTGGACTAGATCTATAGGCCAAAGGCTTGGGTTGTGACCCTCTAAAATAACAACCTGCTTTGGTTAGTGCAGTCAGGCCCTATCCAAGCCCTCACACAAATTTTGTTTATCGCATATATATTTTGGTGCCCCTTTCTACCAAAATTTATGTGTTTGAATAAATAAATACTCTTAAGTAGTCTCACATATCGTGATCGAATCACAACAGTTTTGTATCTATATTTACAACACAACGCAACTGGACCAAGGTATATATATATATATATATATAATCAGTAGGTACCATCTTACATCATCTAATCAATTAATTTGATATCCATAAGTTAAAAAATATAGTTCCTGGAATAAGTATGTACCGGTGCAAGTTGTCCCATTTTTGATATCCATGTAATAACAGAAGGAATTAACAAAATAAAGAGTAGCTGACCTCTTGACATGTTGGTATGGATTGGATATCATGATGACCCAATAAAGCTATTTCAACAGGGGAACTTATTCCTTTGGGTTCTACCATGCTACGAAGGCCATTTGGAGAGCGGTAAGATTAAGACACCAAAAGCTTCTCCGGAAAAGGCAGTATGTGACGAGTCTCAAGCAGTTGACCTTTGCAGTCTGGGGTTCGCTCCCAGATCTCTAAGATCACTAACAATTTAGCTTTGCTCTTAGGTATCTGAAGAATTATCCTCCCACGATGTGATGACCGCAAAGTAACAAGGGCTCACATAGGAAACCAGATCACTAGATGTAGTTAAAAGCCAAACATGAGAAGTGTGGTTGAAAAAAAAGGAAGGATAAAGAGTATGAAATGACTAGCAATAGTGATATATATATATATATATATTGATGACATAATTGTTTACCAATTTATAGAAGTATTCTTCCTCATTACGTGCTTCTAATTTGCCGAACGCCCCACCAGCATCCCGAATAGAACCACCAGTACCACCACCCTTGATAAGAGAAAATTAGTAAACATATATTAATACATAAAATCCATACTCAGTAAGATAAGTGGATGTCATTATCATATCTGAATAACGATTCTATCTAAACAAACATAATTTCCTGAAAAATTATTTGATTGCATACAAAAATAATGTATCGCACGATAAGTTATTATCTTCCAGTTGTTGTCAAACATCCTATAGAACCATAATAGGAATAAATAAATCCTAGCTAATCAATACAGTGTAAATGTGTTACTACTTGAAAGTTAACCCATATTTAATGTAATATGAGAAGAATAGTGTAACTTTATAAACTATTTCTTATTGATAACCTTTACCACTCATGTTAGTATATGGTGATGGTTACAAATTGTTAATTAGTAGGAAAATACGATCAGATAATTAAAATGATGAGATATTGATCACAAATTCAATCAGCCAACTTAGAGCCTGGCATAGAAGTGAGTTGTTTTAAGTCACTGTAGCAGATTGGCGCAGTGAGACGAAATGAACAATATGAATACAAAAACAAAGAGAAATAGTGTAGGAGCAGTAGTCATGAGAAAGACTGTACATTGAGAATATGATTAAAAAAAGACAGGGTGAAAGTGTATATGAAGGAATGCTGGGGTTGAAGATCTAGAAGGAGATAAAGAGAGGACGCACTTGCACCATGGACTATTCTTAGTTGTCTCATCTAGTCTTCAACTCGGTAGTCTGCATATACTAACATGGTTCAGAACAACAGCCAGTGCCTTCATAGAATGATGCTACATCTTCGCTTGACTACCCGTAGATACTTTTCAACCTACTTTTGCACCAAAAAGCATCGTTCACTGAGGTAGATGGCGATTAGTCATACGTAACACATGCTCTAACCAACTCATCTGATAGAGATTCAAAACCTAATCAACCGACTTGCTACTTTTGCCAGGTACCTTGAGCCTAGGACTCAACACACTGCCCATTTAGTTGTTCCACAAAACGAGAGTAATACTTCAAAGGCACTTATAATCAAAAACCTTTTGTGAGGTAAGTTGACAAACGTTAATCGGACTTTCTGCATAAGTATACCATTTTTTATCAGACACCTACTCACAAGGGCTGATGAAACTTTCAGGATACATGAGGTTGGGTATGAATACAAGGATGTCGACATAAACTGGTTAATAAGTTCAAGAATTCATTATTCACTATTTTATACAATGATTATAAATAACCAGCGTTCACAACCCATAAGTAATTTGGACGAAAAATATGTAAATTTAATTCATTCAATATCACAAACCGACTCTAGTAGATTTTATTGTAGAGTACATCAGATAAGCCGAAAAGAAAAACTTATTATTTAAAAATCATAACTATAATGTTTAACCATGAATTCAACGACTGATTTTATGCAACAATTACACGTTAACAACCAGTCAATGGCTTATGAAGTAATGTATAAAGAATAGATTAGAAATAGAATATTAAAATATGAGACATGGATAACCATACTTTATGAATTATACAATAGTCTTTCTATAAACAATTATCGTATCAAAATTATTCCTGAATCATATTTACAGGTTCGTTTACGTGTTACGTGTCGACCTGGTGTTATTTATTTTTCAAATGTAACACAGTTGTCACATTTTCGAAAAAGTAGAAGCATGTTAGGCTGAAAACATTTTCAAAATGATGGAGAAGATTTGTAGCTCAAATGGATGTTTAAATCATCTAACAGTAAGATTTCATGATGCTATCGCTCAGTACAACAATGAAAACCACGCTAATAAACTATGCAAACTAGAGAACACAAAATAACAAAAATTCACATAATCATGTGACCACAAGTTGTTTGATTTCCGAGCCTAACTGGCTTAGTTGATGATTACCTATCTAACTGAATCAATGTTTTCGAATTTCGTTAATTACAAGAATAGAATAGAAAAGTTATAACCCAATTGATTGTGTGTAGAGTTAGAAAACAGAAAAAGAAGGGTATATAAAGCACAGAGATTATAAATAAAAGGGTTATACAACGAAGATGATCAGAAATTAATGTGACGCATGTAATCTAGCCAAAATTCCTTCAATCTTGCAGTCGCTTAAATTAAACTACGTGATTGCAATTACAGAAATATGGTATACCAAGTCAACTGCAAAACATTTACCCCATGAAATAACCTTCGACGATTGTCAACCTGCAATCTTTTCTTCATATATACTAAAATTGGTTGGTGTAGTGTACACACGATAAATATGCATGGTCCCAATGTTTTTTACATGCTGACTTTTACTGTAGTAATAAAACTGAACATTCTAGATAAATCATCTTATTAACAACAATTATAACTTGCAGTGACTAACAGTAAAGTCCATGATTTTTCCTTCTTCTCACTAGGGTATTAACAACTAAAGTGACAAAAATTCTAGTATTGATTTTAGTGGTAAATAGTATGTTGTTTATTGATACAAATAACCTAAAATTAAACAAGTAACGGCCTAATTATAAAATAGTCAACAAGTAATTGTTTTAAACGAGAAACGATCAAGGACGAGTTGTCGTTACTTTGAACCCCTTACATGGTGTTGAAAAGAATAAATGTTGTTTGATCCTGCCTGGTTTACATAATAACTAGCATAATGTACAATCCATGGTCGAGTAAGTACAATTCACTGACTTCACTTGATGAAGGTGCTTACGGAAATGAAACGACAAAAAGCGAACGTATGGTGCTTAAACGAACTTGGTGGATACGGAGGACTCAACTGGAGGATTCGGGAAACATTGACTACAAATCATTGGTGTATGAGATCCTATGATCTTGACAAAATGAATGTTGTAAGAACATATTTGAGTCACCGGCTACTTAGGTATCTAAAATTGCTCTACTGACTTGTGGAGTGGTCTCCTAGGGAAACCAACCACCTCGGTTTGACCTCCCGGCAGTATTCCAATCAGTACACAAATATGATTTGAGTGACGCACACTTTTAGTATCCGATTGTAGCAAGTTAAATTAAACCAAGAAATAAAGTTGGGGAAGTTTGAGCATCCTCAGACGTCCATGCAGATACATGAAACCAAAAACAATCAAGAAACAAGAGTCCGCCGTATTTGAAAAACACTGACGTCGTATGGTATTACTTAACTGTGATCATATCAAGTTTAAATTTAAAATTTAATACAAAGCTGTTATATTGGTTATCATCGGATAATCGATTAGTTGTAACGTGATCGTATATTCAATATTGGTGAAATCTGAATCCGTATGATGCGTCAACCACTGAACTTAATGTTAAAATAACAACGAATAGCTAACAGCAGTACCAAATTATTAAAGATAACCACTTAATTTATGTGAATCAACAGTACAGTCGACTATCATCACTATCCCCTACTATTTAACTCTTAGGTTCTATCTAATACAATACACTGGCTACTTTAAACATGCTACCGAAAACAATATATTACAACTCCAATTCACATAATCTTTTACTTTGCTTTGAGCCATACTTCACGTACAAGGGCTAGCGATACCATCCAGATGTTCAACCCTAAGCAGATGAGACGGGGTTTCGAAACTCAAACGTAGCAGCTGAAAGTCGAACATTAGATAGACACTATAAACTGAATACTATTAATTGCAGAGCTTGAAAAGAGACTAGTAATGTGTAGTTCTCTAAACCAAAGTAACTTTGTGGCTGAATGAAAAACGGTGTAAACCAGGCTATACCAATCTAATATCTTCTATCACAAAAACTATGAGAAATAAACCAGCTGCCCAATTAACTTGATGTAATCCCATTATCAAGTACAGGTTTATGCAATATTCTTTTGGTCACACTGGTTTTATGGGGTCTAATAATATTGCCCAGTCAGTCAGTCATAACCAGCACACAACCTGGGATAACTATATTCGTTAGCTCAAGTTCACTTACTACATTATCATGACGAAACAAATAATAAACGAATCAAAATAATGTAGTAGCAATTACGTTGACAATGACTGGACGTTAACACTATAATTAGAAAAGACATTGAGAAGGTTTGTACAAAAGAATAATGGAAATAAAGATAGAGAGGAAGGTAAGAAGTAAAAGCACCTGAGCCATCTTGAGCCACGTCACTCAAAATCTGTAGCCTGGTACGGCCGAGAATGGAGAGAGTCCGCTCTCCCTCTTGAAATGCTCTCACATGGCCACGAGTATATAGCCTCTGCCAAGGAAGTCCTACTCACTGACTTCTCATGGCGGGGGTGTCTTTTACAAAAATGAGAGGACGAAAAGCGAATGTCCGGCGCTTTAACTGGATTCCAAATCAATGGTGCACATAGGCTCCAGTATCCTGAAGGAACAAATGGAGTATGGACCAATCGTTGGTCACCGGCTTCCATGGGACTGCATCTCCTTACGATGCTTCACTGCCTTGTGGATCAGACCTTCAGGTCGAAGGCTCGGGGAGTGACCCCCTAAGAAAACCACCTGCTTCGGTTTAGGCATCCGGGCAGTATCACAGCCCTCACACATATCGAATGAGATTTGTGTGGCGCATACGTATTTGGTGCCTTCTTGTACCAATATCTGTATGTTAAAATAAATAAAAACGGGATTATCGTATGGACCTCAACCATATAATCTGCTTTTCTACATAAGCGGCTCAGACCAACAATGAAGGAATATCGGAACAATCAGTATGGGGGTTGTAGAGGCTGTTGAATTTTGAGATAACAAACAGATCTGTTAACCATCGAAAAACTGGGAGGACTATACAGCTGTTTCTTCCTAGCACGGGGATCCTCAGCAGATCTGGGGACCAAACTCAAAACCTTCGGTCTCGAACATATGCTGATGAACATGAACTGATGTATTTTTGGTTTGGTCGCCCCTATCTTTCTTTCAATCTGTTCACAGACCGGCTAAAATTGCTCGTCGAAATAGGGGGTAGTGGTCAGATAAACATTGTCCAAAATAAGGTTAGACTGGCTTAAAGGAGATTATATAATGAAGAGTATGGACATATCAACTAAATATGCAGAAATGCATATATAACATTTCAATAAACATGTATTGTAATTTTCAAAAGATGAGGACAAATTTTAAGTAGTCAAGATAAAAAAATGGACATACACTAGTAGATAACAAGTAACAATTTTATATTGATTAATGCTTTACAAAAGCATTAACCACTACTGAAGTTATAAATAAACTAATTCACATAAAAAAGATTATTTAAAGAGCATAAAGTAAAAAATTAAATTAGAAAACTTGTGAAAATTAATTAAACACCTTGCCTGCACCTCGTCCCAATTCGTCACCAGGATACATACGAATACACCTAAAAGTAGTCAAAAATGGGTGGGTCTAAAGAATACTGTACTAAATAGAGTTTAAAGCAGTTATTTTTTAGATTTGGTATTAGGTAACAAAAATGTTTTTTCAGTAAATCCTAAGCCATTGGTAATATATCGTGCAGCAGTAAACAGATAATCACTCAGACGATTCAGGTACTTTACTACACTTTCTTCGACAACAGGATATTCGTGTTGAAGGTTCATGCTGATAACACACCGTTCAGCTCGTCTGCAAACAGCTCTCGCAAGTTGTATGGAACTTCCGGGAGTTCCACCCGACGGTAATATGAAGACCTTTAAAGGCGGCAAAGCATTTGTCAAATTGTCAATCCATTGCTCTAGTTCAACTGAAACATCCTCTGGAAAAGCCACACGCTTATACCGCCTTGGACGCTCCGAAATATCAGTTTGATTTTCAGGACGAGGAAGAGGTGTGGCTATTGAAGACGACATACCCAGTAAACGACATTGTATTTGCTCTAATTGTTTTAAAACAGTTAGGACGTCATATCCGGGGAGTTGTCTGGATATATGATCATGAATATGAGCTGACGCCAAGCCTATGCAACATGCAAGTTCATCAACTGTCCCAAGAGCATCGAATACAGGATCATTTTTGGGACGACGTTCACCAGTAAACAAACTACTTGTCCCATTGTCACCTGTCCTAGTATATATTTTCACTGTTCGTTTTGGTACATAAGATATAAGGCTGGCACCCAAGTATACATTACGGCTGTGAAATCGAAAAAGATTAAAAGACCTGAGACTTCTCGCACTACCAGAGATTTGTAGGTGACTACTGCATACAACTTTACAATGAATAATATCAATGAAATAAAATATACGATTTGCAAATCCCTCAGATAAAAATAAACCTTCTACCGACTAATAGTCATTAGTTCCAACTACTACCTAATTATCTTCAAATTTCCTGTACAAGTCGACAAATGTGTATATAATATGACTCTCCATATAATGGGATTTCAGTATCACTTATAATGAACCATAATTTTACGATCTGTGTTCTCAGAATTGATTTAAACCCTATGTACAGAACTGATATCGTTTAGTATAGTCCGAATTGTGGTAACAAAAACTTAAAGCTAAAAACGAAGAGAAAACCAGGCACTAATCCGTATCAGGCAATCAAGTTTTTATGGTACAAGAATAATTGAACCATGTGGTCAAGCTAGCTAGATTTAGAACGAAATCTCATATATTACAGGTATTGAATGAATAACTGATTTCATTTCGTAAAGTCAGAAAAATTCTTAAGGTAATTGTTGTTTGCATTGCACTTACCCAATAGACAAAGGTTTCAGGAACGTCATGGGGTCTTTGAGCACCACCTTCAAATTTTGAGGGATGTAGGTTAACAAACGTTGCATGTCTGATATATCTAATATATCTGAAATTGAGTGTATGGGTGAGAGTATTTGTAGGAGTATCTCCTAGGTGCTAATATATCCAAAGTTTGATTTAGTGAGCTTTCTTTAATCTCTTGATCTTATATTCCTGAAGAATAAGTGGTTTGCACCTCTAAAAGTGAAAAGAAAAAACTGATATCCCTTCGATTTGTGTGATTGTATTTGAACATGAAGTGACCAATATAGAATTAGTGTAACGATAATATCATATACTTCTTGTCAAAAATTTCGGACGTACCTGTTGAACTTTTTTTACATTATTGAGGGATAGATAAAAGAAATCGGTTAAGTGATTTAAATAAAATTAAGTTATCGGAATCTCAAAAATATCACGTCATAAGAATCAAGTTTCGAGCCAAAGTACGTCAATCGACTTAACTTGTGATTCTACAAAACAGCATGGTATAACACTAACAGGTAAGTCGGTGCTGAAGAGTTCCTGACTAACCAGTATTTTCAATGGTTAAGATCATGAGTCAGTTGGAACTAAACTACCATGGAAAACCTGGAAGCACTGGACGGCTTGGTGGTCTTTACTTTAACACAGATATTGGTACAAGGAGGCACCAAATACATATGCGCCATACAGATCTCATTTGATATGAGTGAAGGCTGTGATACTGCCCGGGTGCCCAAACCGAAGCAGAGCTTGGTGGTCTAGTTTCAACTGACTCATGATATTAACCATTGAAATTACTATGATATACACAAAACCCATCTGATTTTAACTAGTATTTGTAAACGTGAGAACTATTAACCAAAACTTATACCAACGATGGCAACAAGGCTTAACAGGAATCACAGAAGTTGATCAAAGTATTGGACTGAGGTGCCGTAAACTGAAGCACCTGGAAAATACATCTACTGGCCCGAATATCATTAATTCTATCGTCCTGAGATAAGTGACCTCATTTCCGATAACATGCCTTTGTGTAATATTTTCGCATCCCTCTGGTAACACCATGGTTTCAAATAAGTGAAAATTGATACACTTTGATCCAAACTTTAAAATGAAGCCAACACAATGACCCTGCAACCACTTGCCGATCACTTTTCTTAATGCTCTCCACGGTTATGGAGTCTAGTTGATGATGACGTGAGTGATTAATTTGAATCTCAAGGAAATTCTTTTTCGCCCAGTGGTTAACAATTGTTAGCGCTAGTTTTTATTGTGGAGATGAGTGAATCAAATTGAGTAGTTGAACTGTATCACTACCGCTCACATAAAATATGGTTTAAAGCTGAGAGTAAAAGTATGATATGGGAACGAGCTAATCAGAATTGAAATGGCGAATTTTAATTTTCTGCACTAAATTTAAACACCACGTTTTGTAACTCATTCGAAACCTTACGACACCAACATCTGGTTTCGATTATTAAATTATACTAATTTTATGCTTGTGTTATTGCCAATTGTGTTTAATCACTCATCATGAAAGATAAGTATTATCGACGTGCTTATTAAATCATCCTTTTACTCTTCCCTTTTTTCGCCTTCCGATTCTATTATACTCATAATATCCCCCGCACAGTACACAAGTTACCTTCAAGCTGGACATGAACCTACCAAAGGTTAGACGTTATAGTATAGCGAGATATAGGAAAACCTTTGTATACTGCTCAAAACATTAGAAACGGTAGTGCAAAGTTAATTAATGACACCATAGAGTAAGTGGTAGTAATAAATCTATGATACAGGCGTCTAGTCTCTGAAGCTGTACACAGCAGGCGGATCGATACTATGCCTAAATCTCGACCCCAAACCCTTAATCCTGAAACAAATAACCTAGTGGCACTATATTTAATGAACGAACAAATCAGACGGCGCCTTTTGGCATTCCCGCGCGAAACTCACTAATCCCTAAGGTTACAAAGCGATTTTACATTGAAGACGATGTCCGTTTGTGCTGGAAACACTATAACAAGGAGGAATGTGGAAACCTAAAAAATCTACTTAGGTCACTCAAAATATTATAAAAGACGAATAATTCATTCCTTCTAAGTGAGTTCGAATATTTTAACGTTTTACAGACAGAGCCATTAATACGCTCGTTAATTATGTAAATCAGTTTACACTTTGAAATATTTTTTTCATCAACTTCCCGTTTACGAAAGTCTTGTGATCGATTAAAATATGGCTAGAAATATGTTGCGGTTGTTAAGAGCTGACACCATAATAACCGTAGTTTTCTTTCCAGGAGAAAGGTCTGAGGGTATGGCTATAAATATTTAAAAAGTAGCAATTGGGTTGTGATACCAAATTACGTACCCAAAGCAATTAAGCACACACCTTTCCTGTACAAATACACAGACATCATTGTGTCAGACAGATTACCTCTGGTTGTGACTTGAATCTGAACTAGTAATAGCGTGAATACTAGTTCTAATTGCTATTAAAATGTTAACTACGATAATTACTGGAAACAAGTTTAAGGAGTGGAGAGAAGTGAAGTATTGCTTATTGATGCGGATGTATGTGTGTATAATAAGTCTATATCACAATTGTTATGTTACCGCTGTTTAAGACTTGTTCCAATACTACAATTCACAAAGCAGTGGACATGATATATATGTATATATATATATATTCTCTGGTAAAATGCGTATAAATTTTCGGTTCAATTAGCTTCCAGCTAACTGCAGCTTTTCAATTAGAAGTACCGATCAAACCAATAAATCAGTCAGTAATCCCATAACAAAGGTCATCTGTATCTTATTATGTTGTTATTGATGCACCTGATTGCATATCTACGCAGTACTATCAACGTGACTAAGAAGTAAGCGCAGGTAAAACCTTAAGTCTCAGAAATCAAAAGCTGTTTGCAAGCTTCATGCTTTTCAGGATGTTTGGGTCCATGTAATACATCCTAGATAGCAAAAAAGGAGCGCTGTGGTCGTCCTGAAAGCTTCAAAGGCTGATGAGCGATAAGCTAACTACTACACCATGCACAGAAAGCTAGTTTGAAAGGAACGACATACATACACAAAGACTTACTGATTACCCGCCGAAAATATAATTCGAAAGTGTGTAACCCAGATTGTTTAACTCCACTCGTGCAAGTTTCAATATCTTATTCGGTTTCAGCTTAGAAAAGACAAGAAGTTAGATAGTCTATGTTAGTTCTAGAAATGGTGGTCCCTCAGTTGATCCAATTTTTTTGAAAGCGTCGGCAGATTGAGATTTAACCACGTGTTCAGATAATGAATCCTATTCGTTGATGATTCGATTTGAAAGTCGATAGTCAGCTTACAAGTAATTTGTCCTGTGCTTATGAACATTTTTTAGAATGTTCTCGTAAACTAACTCGTCTGGAAGACAAGAAAAATGAGGCCATGTTGGGTGCGAATTTATCACAAAGTAATATAGAAACTGATCAAAGAGCTTATGGTTCTTCAATAGGACAATGGTATAGCAGTAAATGAATCCCCAAAATAAATGGCCCTGTAAGTCTTCGACATTGGACGCTGACCACATTAGTTTTAATGGACTCACCTAGCTAAAGGCTCTCGGTCATGCATCCGCACCAGATCACGAGTGGGGACGCCGTGCTCAACATCCAGAAGATGCCACAGGTATTCGGAATTTGACAACCCTTTGAACAGTAACACCTAATACGAAGCGTACCCACCATGTGAAATCAAAAGGCAGAAGCGAGGAAGCTCGAAGATATATTTGATACACTATCAATATATCGAGAATCGTCTGATCTAATCTGACTAGTGATTGCAGTGGTTGTTGAACACGGCGTCACCACACGTGATCTGATGCGGATACATGACCGAGCGCCTTCAGCTAGGAGAGTCCATTAAAAAATGTGGTCAGCATCCAATGTGGAGGACTTACAGAGCAGTTTATTTTGAGGATTTATTTACCGCTACAGATTAATCCCTCCTAGTGGGGTAGCGATGACCCTAAGACGTGGCCAGCCAGAAGTTTAAACCCAATGAGTTTTGTTGCTGGTAAACGCTCTTCTGATAGCTTGCTATACTTAGCAGCAAATTCTTTTGAAAGTCGAAGTGTCGTTCCACCAACGAGTTGAGCCGCAGTGTATCCAATGTCAGCTTTGACTGCATTGCGAATACCTAGTAAGACGAATGGAAGAGCGTCGGTCCACTGTGAAACGTTTTCAGCTAGTATAGAAGCTTATAGTTGTCGGTGAAAACGTTCTAGCATCCTGTTTGCTTGTGGGTGGTAGGCGGTCGTTCGGAAGCGAATAATTCCTAATAGTGTGGTCAGATGAAGGAAAAGTTCAGATTCAAACTAACGTCCGCGGTCTGTAGTGATGGTTGAAGGGCAGCCGAAGTTTGCTACCCATCGTTCGACGAAGGCTCAGGTCACCGTTTTAGCAGAGATGTCTTTGATAGGTACTGCTTCTGTCCGTCGAGTGAAACGGTCTACGCAGGTCGAGAGATAAGAGTATCCATTCGAATCTGATAAATGTCCGAAGGGAGTTATGATAGATTTTTTCGGAATGTCGTCATTGGTCATGGGGATTCGGTTATACGCTTTAACCATGTCGACTTTCGAAAAGACAGTTGTAACTTTTAAGGTAGCTGTCAAATCATGAATGTGAGGCAACGTGTAACGATCGGTAATGGTTTTTGCATTCAATCGCCGATAGTCAACAGTTGGGTGCCAATCGTCGACAAACTTATTTTAAATGCAGTATTTTTTAAAATTATTTTATGAACCTCACGAGCTTACTAGAACGCGTAGATTTGTTTATATATCCGTAACTACTGAAACTTCGTGGAAGTGACTAGCTGTTACAGAATCATCATTGTTTGGTTTGGCAGCGAAATCATTTGAGTATGGATTAGGTTTTACATTGACATGATCTAGACAATATTTTTCGGCTGACTCCTTTCTTTCATTTTGGTCGGTAGCACTGTGGTGTGAGTCACGTTCTAAAACCTTGAAGAGTCTTTCACAAAACATATCAAATGGTCGAGGTAATAAA